TCTCATTTAACAGACGCTTTTATCCAAAGCAACAAGTAAGAGAGCATTTAACACACACTCGACACAATCCTGCGCGACGAGGTCCATACGGGTTGTCTTACACGTCTTACTGCGTTACAGTAGGTTAAATCATAACAAGGAAACTTTACGTGTGATTCATGTCATCGCGACATACTGTAACACATACTTACAGTGTGTGTCAAAAAAATGATGTAATCGTCCTCTGCTTTTTTTCTGGCGTGCATGCATGGAATACATTAGACGGCCAAACAGCAACTAAACGAACACGAAAATTCGCAAGAGCAACAAGAGATTTGAAGCTCATGGCAGACGCGCCCAATAGATGCTTCGCGCTGTGATTGGCTGAATGTTAGTTCACTCAAGTCTAAGTAACAAATCAGAGAGCACGGGCGGAAATATTGGCGCTGGGTCAAAAAATATGTAAAAGAAATAGAAAAAACTCTAGCTCGCTATTCTTGGTCCTCGTTGAGAAGCATCGCGACGCGGAATCATGAATTATTCTACTACAAACTGAAAGATTATGATTTGAATTTTTGAATGACAGACAAGTAGAAGGGTGGGGGCACACCGGGGGGCCAATCAATTTTCAGGAGGGGCCAGTGCCCCCATGGCCCCTCCCCTGTCTACGCCACTGATTTCCAGGATATGAATTGTTGATATCAATGTAATTATTGATATCAAAAATTATATTTCTACTAGTAAGAAATCAATTCTTGATATCAACAATTGATTTTGAATGGCAGCCTATGGTGACATTTCACTAGTGAAAATACAATTACAGATATCAAGAATTATAGTTTTTACTAGTTGCAATTCAATTGTTGATATCAAGAATTAGCATTGTTACTAGTGAAAATGTAATTCCTGATATCAAAAATTGCCATTGTTACTAGTAGAAATATTATTCCTGATATCAATAATTATAATTTTAACTAGTGAAAACTGAATTGTTGATATCAAGTATTCATATCCTGGAAATGAATAAAAGTTAAAACGGCTTGCCATAGTTTGTGGCGAGTGTCGGGTAATTCTTTTGTTCTGACATTCACAAAGGAGAAGAAAAGAAATCTTTGTTTCTGTCTTTTTGTCTCCTCCACCGCCCGTCACTATGAGGCATTATATATCACTTCCTCTATGGTGAAATAAGAGAGGGATGATAATCTCAACACACTTCCTCATGCACTCTGTGTTTGTACTACTAACATACTACTGTTATACTGTGATAGTGTGTCAATCTTCTATATCTTACCACTTATATGCCAAAATTTACAGTATACAAACTAGAATACTTACAGGAACGACGTATCTCATAATACAATGCACTCGACTTGACCTTCCACTTCCAGTCTGATGAATGAATGTCATTTAAACATGATTTTGTACAAAACTGCAGTCCACAATTTAATTATTTAATTATTAAATGAATTTAAAATAATTTAAATAATGTAGGCTAATTTAAATATATATATATATTTTTTATGATTTTAAAATAATATTATTAATTGTATACATGGTAATTATGAGACATAAAATGTTTTTTTGTTTTTATATTATTTTGGGTCAAATATATTAACTTTCTGTTTTATTGTCAGGGTTATAGTTATTGACTAAAACTTAAACCATAAACAACCTTTTTGTTACTTGAAATACAATAAATATAGACTAAAATGAGTATTATAGTAGACTGAAATGTATGTGTGTGTATACAACTCGAAAAATTAGAATATCGTGCAAAAGTTCATTTATTTCAGTAATTTAACTTAAAAGGTGAAACTATTATATTATATAGACTCATTACATGCAAAGTGAGATATTTCAAGCCTTTATTAGTTATAATTGTGATGATTATGGCTCACAGCTTATGAAAACCCCAAATTCAAAATTAGAATATTGTGAAAAGGTTTTCATAAGCTGTAAGCCATAATCATCACAATTTTAACAAATTGAAATATCTCACTTTGCATGTAATGAGTCTATATAATATATTAGTTTCACCTTTTAAGTTAAATTACTGAAATAAATGAACTTTTGCACGATATTCTAATTTTTCGAGTTTCACCTGTATATATATATAAATAAAAAAATGGCAAAAACACAACTAAATTACTAAATCCTTTGACTAAAATTAAACAAATGCATAAAAAAATTATTAAAAATACTACTAAAACTAGTATCTCGACACTATAAATACCAGTGATTATAGTTTGATCAAATAAAGAGTCATGATGAGCACATTGCATTGATACAACATTTCATGCAGTGTATTCTGTTTTACACTGCTCGTTTCATACAGAACATTTGCATAATGTGCATACTGCATAAATAGTAAAAATAGTGTGGCTTGCTATTCGGCCAATGTGTGTGTGCACATGAGCGACTCTCCCCATCATTAACTCAGTATTGATGGTCTGTTTTTAAGCACCTTTGTCATCTCTCACAGCCCATAATGGTATTTTTAATGAGGGAACTGTGGGAATCTGCTGTGATACTTCGCCGCGCTCTTTTCAGATAATATTTGCGTGGTTACTGAAACTTTGGCTCTCCGTTGAGACTCGGATTTAAGCTAATGAATCCAAGGCACACAGCTTTGTAAATTAGCAGCCTCCCTCAAGCAATCTGTCCACGCAGATTCCAGCAGACACAGATCCTATGGGCATCTTCCATCAGACACATGCCGCATAATCATAAACTGTTGCTTGATGAACACGGAAGCCGTGCTTTGAATACAGTCAGAAACTATGATACAGTTAAGCTAAGAATAGTTTGCTTTGGTCAAAAAAATGAATTACACATAGTGATAATGTAGGCCTACTTAACATCCAAAAGGACTCAGTTTTCAGTATTAGTATGAATACTAAACGTAGTATTCAATAATTCAGTTATTATACCATGGTCTGGGTGAATACTCGATTCTGATTGGCTGCAGGGTGTCCATTAAAAAGTGATAGAGGACACCCAGTAAAGGCGTTCTGGTGAAACTGACTGTTTACCGTTCGAAATGAATAAATAAATGCGCTGGCTACATCAGCTGTGAGTAACCATAGCAACAGGCAGTCAAAGTATCCGTTTACAATTTATTGTATCAAAACAAACATCTACCTGTGCGTTTTAATGGTTAAAAAAAACGAAAGTGTGACGCCCATGGCTAGACAAGCCCAGAGCCATAGAGTTGCGACACGCTTTGATGTCGCCGCGACGGCTGTCACTTGGTTCATGTAAGCCCCATTAGTTCCAAAACATACGCGGGCTGTCATGTTCTTCTATGGACAGACAGCAGCGATTGCATTATTAAACGGTAAATATAAAATAAAACACACACCCGAGTACTTTTTAAGCTGTTATTGCATTTTGTTAATGTCAGTTTTGCATTTGGAGAGGCAGGGTGACAACTTAGATAAGTTTTAGGCTAATTTTTGGAGGGAAAAGCTTAGTGTTCATGTTTGCATGGGTAGTAATAGCACTGGCTTTAGCGGCTCTAACTTAACTTTTCCATGTCATTCATCTGATGATGGACGTCTCATGATATTTATTTTAGCACAACTGGGCTGTATTAGGCTATTGATTCCCGTGATCTTGCTTATAAATTCTGATTCAGCCATTAGCCTATACCTTCGTGATCACGCAAAGAGGTCTGCAGTCCGTTCAGAACGCCAACCAACACAAAATATAAATAATTACGCTGTGCATGTACAAATGAATAATTTAGGAGGGAAATAGACTGCTCCCATAACGTAGAAAGCAACGACTATATACAGCAATGTTCGGTATATTCAACCGAAAAATATTCTTCATAAAATTAAACCGGAGAGATAGTTAATGAGTGAATTAACTATGTTCCTAAATACATATAAGCACATATATGCATAACCCTAACCCATTTAAATAAATGAATTGTGTGTGTGTGTGGGTGGGTGTATGTATATAATATTATATATAAATATATATATATATATAAAATATTATTAAAAATATTATATATTATATACATCAGTTACCGTAAGTTAGCTAACGTTAGTGAAGTGTTGGTCACGTAAGCTATAGCTGCAATTAACCTATTATCTTACAATAAACATTTACTAAAACTGGCTACATAAAATATAACTACAGACTAGATTCACGAGAGGTCGGCTAATGTGTGTAAAAGTAAAAAAAAAAACAGTAATTTAATTAATTTACCAGTTAGCGTACTTCGGGAGCACTGAAAATGAATGGGGTTCAATGGAGAAACTATCAGTGTTTGGAACTATTGGCCGCTCCACGACACGCGTTACTTCCGCATTCCAGAGTTCCTATGGCGGTTTATGGGAGTGTCGCAACTCTCTCTCTCTATGGCTCTGGACAAGCCTAACTTACATGAAAAAAAAAATACGTTACCTTTCTGGCTCGTAACATTGAGAGACATTGAATAAAGTAATCAAATGTAAAACAACACTGGATAGTCTTCACTGTATAAATGAACAGATTAATCCTTATTAAAGTTTCATAAGTGATTCAGTCAAGAGCATGATTTTTTTCTTTGCCTTTTGTTGTTAGATTAACATTAAAAACACAGACCGCAGCAGAAATATTAGGCTGTGTCACTTTAAGAGCGATTGCATGGATCCAATACACTGATACTCTTTCTCCACCGTTTACATTCACTTACGCCGTAACCGGCAATGTTTGCTAGGATGCTCGCTGAGACAGGCAGTTTTATGACCTAATGTTGTGTGAATTTGACCATTCAAGCGCAAGAAGACGCGGCTTTCTGTGTGCGCGCCTCGGATGTTTAAACTTCCCACACACGCGTGAGTGACAGATTGAGCTCCTATCGCTTCTTCTTGCGCGTGAATATTTAAATAGGCAATTCATAAACTTTGGTGACGATGCAGCGATAGCCTGTTAACTGTTTGTTCACGTTCATGTTCTCATAACATTGGCTGTGTCCGAAATCTCCACTCAAACCACTACTCCCTAACCCCTAGTTAGGGGGTAGGGAGTAGAGCACTATATAGTGAGCTCACCAGCGTAATAGAAACACCACTTTCGGACACTACTCGATCGTCTCTCGGCGCCGTTGATTACGTCATTACTGTCGCACTATTTAAATGCGCCATCATCTGTCAGCTGGTGCCGAGCCAGCTCTGGGCTAAATAGATTTTTTTTTTTTATATATATATAAATACATTACATTATATTGAGCTTATTTCTCCAAAATTGTAAAATTAAAAGTCATTTCTGGCCGTTTCTGTTATAATGCGTTACTCCACACATGATTATAACTTATAAACATAAATAAAATTAATAAACATATTTCATATATTTTCATTTTCGCGCCACACCGTTTTCTCTTGCCTAAAAAAACAGATCTACGTTATCAAATATCTTGCTCATAATACTCTTAATAAAACAGCTTTTAGACTCTGTGGAGATGCCACTCAATATTTATCTTTTTTGTTTGTTTGTTCTCGTGATTCAGAAGATTTTGCGGATTAGCAAAAGAAACAGGATTTCTAGACACAGAAAACGACGTGCTGTTCTTGCTACGCTAGCGAGACGTCGTCAAATTGTAAGTTAAAGATGAAGATGATGCTGATAGGTCTTTTACGATCAGCGCAATGCATGATGGTATGTAGGGCTTGGGTTAGTGACCATCGGTTGTACACTACTTTTCAAAATGCATTCTGGGATACATTGAGTGGACTATATAGGGTATAATAATCATCACTATACATTCGGACAGCACTACAAAATGGCGACCTCACTATATAGTCCACTATATACACTCACCGGCCACTTTATTAGGTACACCTGTCCAACTGCTCGTTAACACTTAATTTCTAAGCAGCCAATCACATGGCGGCAACTCAGTGCATTTAGGCATGTAGACCTGGTCAAGACAATCTCCTGCAGTTCAAACCGAGCATCAGTATGGGGAAGAAAGGTGATTTGAGTGACTTTGAACGTGGCATGATTGTTGGTGCCAGAAGGGCTGGTCTGAGTATTTCAGAAACTGCTAATCTACTGGGATTTTCACGCACAACCATCTCTAGGGTTTACAGAGAATGGTCCGAAAAAGAAAAAACATCCAGTGAGCGGCAGTTCTGTGGGCGGAAATGCCTTGTTGATGCCAGAGGTCAGAGGAGAATGGCCAGGCTGGTTCGAGCTGATAGAAGGGCAACAGTGACTGAAATAACCACTCGTTACAACCGAGGTATGCAGCAAAGCATTTGTGAAGCCACAACACGCACAACCTTGAGGCGGATGGGCTACAACAGCAGAAGACTCCACCGGGTACCACTCATCTCCACTACAAATAGGAAAAAGAGGCTACAATTTGCAAGAGCTCACCAAAATTGAACAGTTGAAGACTGGAAAAATGTTGCCTGGTCTGATGAGTCTCGATTTCTGTTGAGACATTCAGATGTTAGAGTCAGAATTTGGCGTAAACAGAATGAGAACATGGAACCATCATGCCTTGTTACCACTGTGCAGGCTGGTGGTGGTGGTGTAATGGTGTGGGGGATGTTTTCCTGGCACACTTTAGGCCCCTTAGTGCCAATTGGGCATCGTTTAAATGCCACGGCCTACCTGAGCATTGTTTCTGACCATGTCCATCCCTTTATGGCCACCATGTACCCATCCTCTGATGGCTACTTCCACCATGTCACAAAGCTCTAATCATTTCAAATTGGTTTCTTGAACATGACAATGAGTTCACTGTACTAAAATGGCCTCCACAGTCACCAGATCTCAACCCAATAGAGCATCTTTGGGATGTGGTGGAACGGGAGATTCGCATCATGGATGTGCAGCCGACAAATCTGCGGCAACTGTGTGATGCCATCATGTCAATATGGACCAAACTCCCTGAGGAATGCTTCCAGCACCTTGTTGAATCTATGCCACGAAGAATTGAGGCAGTTCTGAAGGCAAAAGGGGGTCCAACCCGTTACTAGCATGGGGTACCTAATAAAGTGGCCGGTGAGTGTAGTGAGTAGTGGGAGATTTCGGACACAGCCATTGTATTGTTAGAATTCATAAAAGAAAATTACCGGCTAACTGGCGATTGACATCATTTCATATACTCACCAACCAACGCCGAAATTTACTCACATTTGGCGACTCGAGGGTTAATTTTACTGTGTGCGCCGCTTTGAACATCTTGTGTTAAGCACAACATCCCAAGCCGAGTTCAGTTTGATCGGAGCACTTTAACCTCCCAACAAACCCATCCATATCAAATAAGCCTGTATTACACTGTGTAAAACGCAAGAATATTGAAAAATACTACTATAAATGCTACTCTTGTGCTGAGTTATGGAGAATGAAGTCTGTGTGTGACCGCTTACAATTAAAATTCATAATGCACAGTTCAAGATTGAATTTCCATTCACACAGCTACATTCATAAAACTTAGCATATAATAAACCCCTAAATCTATTTGTATAAGATTACACATCATCTGAAGCAAATGCTTATTAATCCTGTGGAAAACTGGCCTGCATGAGTTACCAAGGCTTTCGAAAGGGTTACTATTGGATGTTTTTGCTATAGCAGTTGCTATGTTGTTCTGAAAGGTTGTTATTCAGTTGCTAGGTGGTACCTCTGGTGTGCTGAGAGGTTGCCAGAGTGTTCTGAGAGGTTGCTAGGTGGTTGTTAGGGTGTTCTGTTTGCCATGGTATTTTGGGAAGTTGCAATGCGGTTGCTAGGGTGTTCTAAGTGGTTGCTATGCGGCTGATAGGAAGTTGCTTTGGTGATCTGGAAGGTTGCTATGCAGTTGCTAGGCAGTTTATATGGTGTTCCTAAAGGTTGCTATATGGTTGCTAGGGTGTTCTGAGAAGTTGCTATGCGGCTGATAGAGGGGTTACTAGGGTGTTCAGGAGGTTGATATGCAGTGGTTAAGTGGTTGCCAGGGTATTTTGAGAGGTTGCTATTTGGATGCTATGGTGTTCTGAGAGCATGTTATGTAGTTGCTAGGTAGTGATGATCTGAAGGTTGATATGCAGTTGCTAGGAAGTTTGTATGGTGTTCTAGGAGGTTGCTAGGCTTTTGCTAGGTTGTTAAGGAAGTTGTTATGTGGCTGCAATAGGGGGTTGCCCGGGTATTTTAGGAGGTTGCTATGTGGATGCTATGGTGTTCTGAGAGGTTATTTAATTGTTCTAGGAGTTTGCTAGGTGGTAGTTAGGGTGTTCTAGGCGGTTACTATGTGGGCGGATAAGTGTTTGCCAGGGTACTTTGGGAAGTTGCTATGCGGTTGCTAGGGTGTTCTAAGAGGTTGCTATTCTGCTGGTAGAGGGGTTACTAGGGTGTTCAGGAGGTTGGTTAAGTGGTTGCAATAATATTTTGTGAGGTTGCTATGTAGATGTTATAGTGTTCTGAGTGGTTGCTATGGTGATCTGGAGGTTGATATGCGGTTGCTAGGTAGTTTGTATGGTGTTCTAGGGGGTTGCTAGGCTTTTGCTTGGGTGTTTGGGAAGTTGCTATGTGGCTGCAATAGGGGGTTGCCAGGGTATTTTGTGAGGTTGCTATGTAGATGCTATAGTGTTCTGAGTGATTGCTAGGTGGTTGCTATGGTGATCTGGAGGTTGATATGCGGTTGCTAGGTAGTTTGTATGGTGTTCTGCGAGGATGCTACTGTATGCAGTTGTTATACTTGTGATTACAGCATCAACAAATACTGCTTTGACGCCATTCAAACTACAGTTGACATCAATAACTTATTAACTAATAACCTATACAAGTTCAAGCAAACATCCCTTTTAGCCTGAAGACGATTCTTTACTTCCTGTTGCACTTAGCCCATTAAAACCCTCCGAATCTACGAATGCAGGATGAGTAATTACGAGCAGCATTGTGGGGAAGAAACTGGACGATTTACAACCTTTTGAAGAGAGTGGACTCGGGGAAACGCGATAGAAATCTGCTCCAGTATCAAACCACAGCAATCAAAACATCATTCCTCCCGCCCTGCACCTCTGCCTCTCTTTCCTCAGCGCTGCTCTCACTGAAACACATTAAGAGCTCCTGTCATGCCGAGATCCAGCGCTTTCTCATCTTCTGTTGCTTCTACCACCGCCTTCGTCTCAACAGCTCGAGACAGACCGATATAAAAACACACATAAATCAGACTTATCCATCCAAAAGGGCTTGATTTTTTACATTTTTTAAATTAGTCTTGAAGCCAAATGCCAGAATATGCTTGGATGTTCTAGGAGGTTGCTATGCAGTTGCTATGGTGTCATGCGAGGTTGCTATGCGTTGCTAGGTAGCTACTATGGTGTTTGGAGATGTTGGTTTGTGGTTGCTAGGTAGTTGCTATGGTGTTCTGGGAGGTTGCAAAGCAGTTTCTGGGAGGTTACCAGTGTGTGCTAGGAGTTTGTCATCTTGTTGCTAGGGTGTTCATGAGATTCGCGGTGGATAAGTGGCTGACAAGCTATTTTGGGAGGAAAAACACATAAATCAGCATAGAGAGGGATTTATCCACCCAAAATGGGATTCGTTTAAAAAAAAATTGTCTTAGTTTTAGGTGCAAGATGCTAAAATTTGCTAAGATGTTCTGGGAGGTTGTAATGCGGTTGCCAGGTAGTTGTTATGGTGTTCTCAGATGTTGCCATACGGTTGATAGGTAGTTGTTATGGTCTCAGAGGTGGCCTTGCGGTTGCTAGGTAGTTGTTATGGTGTTCTGAGCGGTCGCTATGCGGTTGTTAGGTACTTGCTATGGTGTTCTGGAAGGGTTGCTCTGCGGTTGCTAGGTAGTTGTTATGGTGTTCTGAGCGGTTGCTATGCGGTTGTTAGGTACTTGCTATGGTGTTCTGGAAGGGTTGCTGTGCGGTTGCTAGGTAGTTGTTATGGTGTTCTCAGAGGATGACAAGCAATTGCTATGTAGTTTCTATGGTATTCTCAGAAGTTGTCATGTGGTTGCTTGTTAGTTGTTATGATGTTCTCAGAGGTGGCCATGCGGTTGCTAGGTAGTTACTATGGTGTTCTGAGAGGTTGCTATGCGGTTGCTCGTTGCTGTGTTGTTCTCAGAGGTTGACATGCGATTGCTAGGTAGTTGCTATGGTGTTCTCAGAGGTTGCTAGGTAGCTGTTATGGTGTTCTGAGACGTTGACATGCGATTGCTAGGAAGTTGTTATGGTGTTCCCAGAGGTTGCTAGGTAGCT